GGGGCAAGGGCAGTACTTTTCCGACAAACCGAAAAAATTTTCCGACAAACCAAAAAGTTTTCCGGACGACAACATTTTAAATCTTCACCCCCCGTCGACAACTTTGACAATTTCCGACAGCCTTGACAATTTTCCGACAATTTCCGGCAGCATTGGCAATTTTACGACGGGTGTCAACAATAGGGGAGGGCCATTCCCCCCCCCGGCCACGGCGCCACTGATGACAATCACTAGACGTCATTGACGTACGTCGACGAATGTTTTCACGATTTCATGTTTGTCAACAGAGCCCCCCCCCGGTAAATTTAGTTCTACAGCACTGCTGCAAAGCCTTGCAAAGTCTCTATTGCACTATTCGTACTATTCGTCGCCTATTCGTGGACTATTCGTACTATTCGTCGACTATTCGTACTATTCGTCGACTATTCGCGGATTATTCGCACTATTCGTCGACTATTCGCGGACTATTCGCACTATTCGCAGACTATTCGTACTATTCGTCGACTATTCGCACTATTCGCTTCACTATTCTAGTTTTATCAATTGCCAAAATACTCTTTACTTCAAATGTCAATTTTATGTCACAAAAACTGCTAAAAATAGCAAACGTAAACAAACTGTCAAAAGACATTTCAAACCGTATTTAATACCAAAACTGAACAAAAATGAGTTAGATACAAGCACAATACAAACCATCACAACAGAAATATGTGTCGTGAATAACTTTTAAAGTTTGAAAAATAACAATTTATCCAACCTCGTGGTTGCAATTTATCCTGGAATATAGCTGTCAGTATAAAACACGCGCGCTAGAACGGTGATCAGGGATGCCGGAAGTTGCTGAGGGCAAGGGGTGCAATTGGTTAACAAAAGGGCATACTCCATAACAAAAGGGCACCAATGAAAATGAAAGGGCGTCATGATCCAACATTCGTGTCGACCTCCCTCCCCGTCACCAATTTTTTTCGGACCGAATACAATTATTTAGGCACAATTCCTCCGTAATGCTTCAATAAAAAATCCATAAGTAATGCTTTCCGTTGCACCTTTCGCCAAATGGATAACAACTTTGCCGAATTCCTGACGACTGCGGGGTGGAACACCCCCACACCTACCTCCTCCGCAGGCCCTTTTTCCGGGCACATTTGCGGGCGGTGCAAATTTTTGCGGGCCACTTTTAGAACTTGAAGCGAAGCGCGAAGGGCCTGCCATATAATGTGTCGAAAATCGGGAATATGTGTCGAAAATCGGGAATCCAAAAAAATCTCTTTGAAATTTCGTCCATCATTAGTTCAAATTAATTTATCACGTAAGCTGGGTTAATTCTGGACTTGCTGACAAAAAATCAAATGGAAATACGGCAAATAAAGAAAGAAATCGATATACGACCGGCGTCATATTTGGACGAGAATGCAGAAAATACAGAGGAATCGGGAATCCAAAAAAATCTCTTTGAAATTTCGTCCATCATTAGTTCAAATTAATTTCTCACGTAAGCTGGATTAATTCTGGACTTGCTGACAAAAATATCAAATGGAAATACGGCAAATAAAGAAAGAAATCGATATACGACCGGCGTCATATTTATACGAGAACGCAGAAAATACAGAGAAATATTATTTAAGTTTAAAGTGCACCAAGATCTGCTGTTCATCCACATCCCACCATCCGCGACATGACGTCTTTTATCTTCTGGGCCTTCTGATTTGTTTCGAATTACATTCTGAAGAAATTTGATCCGCTGAAACATGAAACAGTATTTTTGGGCATATGACATATTGACATAAGTTATGCTGGTCGTTCGACGGCAGCGATGTCGATACTCTCAATATATCGTCTTTTGAAATGGACTTGGTATGTAGATTTTTGTGGTAATGGAGTTCTACATGCAGACATTGTGTTATTATCACTCAAAAGACAAAGAACAAGCGAACAATGAGACGCTATATTACTTCTATTTTAATACATTGTGAATGTATTTTTTAATATGCAAATATATTTTCAGTTTTTCACCATATCCATCTTTCAAATTGTGCTTTTACTGTTTCATGCAGACTGATGTTTGAATCATATCTAAAGTATTTGAAATGGCTTATCATAGGCTTAGTAGCAAAATATGTAGATGCATGTAATATCGTTGATGTTGTTATTGTTGTATTTGCATTGTATAAACACTTTATAAAACAGTCTCCATCGGCATCGAAAAGCGGTGGCTAGTTATAAGTACTTTTTAGTCTACCAAGACCACTGGATGCTATTTCTAAATATTATTTAGATCTATTAAATCAGTGCTGGTATGTATGTTGTATATTAAGTCATAATAGTAATTAGTAAAGTCAAAATGAAAATTTCGATTTATAGCACCCGCCATCTTGAAAACATTACTCGGCAGGCGCTCTCGCCTGTGACCCGCATTTTCCGAACCTGCCCGAAATGCTCCCTAAGCGCCTGCGGAGGAGGTAGCCCACACACATCCTCAAGCGACGTTTAATTCTGTCTGCTGTAAAAGTTTTGTGCACCCGATACACCCATTGAGTCTGCACCCGCACTGCACCCACAAAGTTGAAAAGGCAAGGGGTGCACTTGCACCCGCTGCACCCGTGGTTCCGGCATCCCTGACGGTGATGTTATGATTTTGTTTGTGCTTAAATTTTGCAATAATTCCCACTAAAAAGTATCTTGAAGTCATTGTAACTGTTTATATAAAGCATACAAAGCATATACATCGACAAGGAACTGCAAAACTCAAAGTTTAAACTTCGTGTAGTTCGTGACCGAATGACATAAAACTGACATGTCAACTCTAGCATTTTCGTCCTTGATCGCGTAATTTTGAAAACGGGTGAAAACGTTTGAAAACTCTTCGCCACGAACGCAAAATAAACAAATTAACTCTATTTTAAGTCTAATTATGAGTAACACTAAATGGTATCTGCTATAAGAGCTATAATATCCAGGGGCGAAACTAGCCCCTTTTAATTCGGGGAGTGTCTGCCAATTCCTGTTAAAACATGGCTTAAACCCTTATTTTTGGCAATATAAATTCTATAAATTCCCTCTGAAAGCCCTGTAAATTACTTAACTCAACATTCTATCATTTAATTAAAATCTTTGATTTATTCAAAACAATAAATAATAGTAATTTTTACCAACCTTAGCTCCAGGATATGATTATTCCCTGACCAACCTATTAATATCCGCAATTCCCGCCAAAACTCTCACGACTGAGTGCAATTCCCGCCAAAACTTTTACGACTGAGTCAGTACAGGACTGAGTCCATGTACCGTCGCTTGCAGGATGAACGGTGAGGTCGTTGATAAAAACATTGCCTATTCGCGTGAGAATCTTCGATATTTGTCAAGAGTACTTGACAGGTTCTGATCTGATTTTAACCCGTTGAACAACCAGATCCAAGCTTTGAAACCACCAAACGACCATAAATGATCATCAAAAACATTGAACTTTCTCGGTAAAAACATTGAACTTTGTCATGAGAATAGACAATACTTTACTGCGACCGTTCATCCTTAGTTCATTCATTTACAAATCGCAGCCCGCGATTTGTAAAACACGGACTCAGTCCGCGTTTTACAAATCTTAGTTCGCGATTTGTAAAACACGGACTCAGTCCGCGTTTTCCCGGTCCAGTCCAGTCCAGTCCGTCTTTTACAACATGCCGTCTGTCTGTCTGTCTGTCTGTCTGTCTGTCTGTCTGTCTGTCTGTCTGTCTGTCTGTCTGTCTGTCTGTCTTTCTGTCTGTCTGTCTGTCTGTCTTTCTGTCTGTCTGTCTGTCTGTCTGTCTGTCTGTCTGTCTGTCTGTCTGTCTGTCTGTCTGTCTGTCTGTCTGTCTGTCTGTCTGTCTGTCTGTTGTCAAATACAATTGACCCATTGCATTTAGGCGTAATAAATAACTATTATTGTAAATTTTAACTTTACCCTATAATATTGTAAACCATAGACGTATTTCAATCTCTATATTGGTTGCATGCAGAGTCTATTTAAAAAAAAATTCAATATATGACTGTACGTAATTCAGGCTGAAATTTAAATCATACTAGTAGCGCTAGCTCTTCATTCGAGCCGGACATTACTGTATTTTTTATATAAACTATCTAGTTTTAATTTTTTTGTACAAGTGCTATCACCCCCAAAACATTGCGTATCTACTATAGTATGCCATACAACAGTTAACAGAGACTCACTTTTCAATATACACTTAAACTAACAGATACTGTACACATGCATTAATCCTAACCCTAATCATGGGTTAAAAACCTTTCGAATTATTGTAACGTCTTCTTGGATGTTAACTTGAAATACGGTTACGATTGTGTCCGTGATTCATTGCATTCATGGGATTTTCCCAACCTCGTCCCCAGGGCCTATTGAGGAGGGAGGCGAAGCAGCAAAGGCCCTGGTAAAGGCTGGTCACGTGATGCTTCAAATTTTGAATATTTCAGAATATTTAACTTTTCAAACCGGGGGTGCGGGCCGCTTTGATTTTATCAAACATGGCCGTGCAAAGGGGCGATAGAAGCTTTTGCGACTGAAACCAGAGACTGAAACTATGATGATAAACTTTTCAACTGACAGTGGAAATAAATATATAGTTTGCGATGTTCTTCAAAAAAATATGGAATATAATCAACAGCAATACTTGTGGAAGATCAAGATTCAAAGAGAAGAGTCTAAACACGGACTGATCACAACAGTAAATATTTCTTTTCAGCTTGGAAATGGAAGCGTGTTTTATAATATTTGTCGTTTCGTTTGGGAGTCAATAACATACTATCACTACTAGTCATAGTTAATATAGAAGACCAGTGAAGAATTTGATTTGGGACTTTGATGTACCTTTATGAAAAGATTACTACTGAATACAAATGTGCATGTAAAATGTGATTAGAACGTTTTAATACGAACAGTTGCATTGTCAGTGACTCAATATATTTTAATGTGGGACAAACATTAAAAAACATTAAAGTACTGTGCCAAGTGACAAAATTCCATGCCGACCATGGGTTACGTATGTATGCATTTTTATTAAACGTTTATACCAATATACACTATTTTATACCTTTGTGTGTGAATTTTGTGTGTTGATTTTATGATATTTGATAACCATGAATATCAATAATATAATATGTTAAGAGCAAGTTTACAGTATATTGTATAATACAAAAGCAGTATCACTGATATTATCACAAGACTCAAGTACTGTACATGGTCTAATAGATGTTTCTTAGTCAGCAACTATGCTCTTTGACATTGTGGCAATCAGGTATTCTTGGGGCTTTTAGCTTGGTTTTTCACTTTTTTGATACAACTATAGAATACCCACAACTTTCACACCTTACCGCTATTAATTCCTTGTAAACATTGTCAATTTACTCAAAATTGATCTAATATGATTGCCTCATTCTTCAAAACTCCCCAGTCAAATT